GCCTTCAGCGTCAAATGACTTCAGCGTAAAATTTTCAGAGCTCCCAATAAACTTAAAGGAAATAATGAAATCATCAAAATAATTTCAGCCTTCACATTAAAGCTAAGGGAGCATAAAGTTTGTATTGTGCTTTCTTGTTTTCATAGACATTTGAAGAGTAGGGGTGCCGCGAAATTTTTTCAGCACAATAAGGGTGCCGCGGGAAAAATGTTTGGAAACCCCTGTGTTAGCCTTCTAGACAGTTCGTATTAGTTAGAGCTTAACCGAAACTAATAAAATATAGCGCCCTAAACTAATTAACCTAAAGACAAGACAATAATACATTTTTTTTCCTCGCACACCGCTTCGTAGTTTCATGATATGAATTTAATCGGAGTGTTATATATTTTGTTTCTCAAGGGCCTTCCAGAGTAAAATTTTAGAAAAATTACTTACTTACATACAATTAGGGGATTCACAAGACGTGTTAACCGTCGTAAAATCTTAAGCTTAACACTTGTTTATGTAAAATAGCGGTTAAAATGGTTGGGGGGTTGGCTAATTATATATTCTTTATCAGTTTAAAAGAATTTCGGTTTAGTTAGAAATCCCCTAAAACCATTTTAATTAAAAAAGATGTTAACCTTAAGATTTTACGACGGTTAACACGTCTTGTGAATCCCCTAAATGTGTATGATATTTTAACTACTAAGTAGTTTGATTGTATACATTATTTATTGGCGTTTCACTACAAAAAATATTATTAGTATCTATTTTAATGCTTTGATTTCATGTGCGATAAGAAGACCCCCTCTAGGGCGGATAACATCAGACTAAAAATATTATAATCTTTTAACTTAAAATTCGGCTACCAACACTCAAGTTTATTGATATATCCTCGAATGTATAGAGTGTTTTAGTAAATAATAACATCTTATCAGCTTATGAGCTAAAATGAAAGCACTGCGAAAGCCTCTTCATATTTACGTAGTTAATAGGGCAATTCTAGATAAGATAGTTTCAAGTCTTTTGTACGACAATTCAAAGACAGTAGGCAATAGAATTTTAAAGTTTTATTTATTTTGATACAAAAGTCTTAAAAAATAGCTGCCTTGCCAACTTTCTTGGCAAAAACAAATATATATTTTAAAAGAAAACCTAAACTTAAAAGAAAGTTTAATCAAAACAAAAAATAAAACGAAAAAAAATAAGATCCTAACAATTAAACAAGTAAAATCGAAAACCAAAAAAGAAAAATCAATTGAAAAAATAAAACATTTTTAACTAAGAATGAGAAAAAATAAAATACGTTTCTAAAAATTAATGATATTTAAAAACATATATATACATCTGTGTTTTTTCTTATTGAAACAATTAATTCTTAAGCTACGTGTCAGTCAGTGGCGGACCCACGTGTGGAAAACTCCCCCGCTGAATCCACCACTGTTCGGTAATTTTTCCCAAAGTATTTTGTTTGTGTCAAATAATAGGGTTGTTGTACAAGAGGAAGGATTGCGAGTTAATTTCGTGAACCTTTGTTTTCTGAGTAATAACCAGGGTCGAGTTTTTTTTTCGTTTTCGAGTAGAGTTTTCAAATACATATTTACAAATGCTGTAGTGCTTATATAAGTGCTGGAAATTGCTTTTTTCTTGCTTATTTTCAGCTTTTACTGAATAGGGTTTACCTAAGTTGGGTACCGATAAGGGGCTGCATAGCGATTCCAGGAAATATTAACAGCGGGAAGTAAAAAGCTCTCATTCACCTTACAAGGCTCGAAGTACCTATAAATTTTTAAAGGCTTTCTTACTGGTCAAATCTGAATTTTTTTGCTCACCAGTGCAGGATTTCTAACGAAAAAAAAAACCGATTATTATTATTATCATTAATCCCTTAAAGCATAAACAGAGGGCATTGTTGATCCGGATGAACTCGGAAATTAACTGCAGTTGATCCGGATTAAGTCTGAGTTAATCCGTATCAACGCTGCCGTCTGTTTAAGCTTTTACTAGCACTCTTGGCCAAACATTTGTTTTTAAATATGCTGTATGCCAGATTCACACAGCATTCGCCATTACGCAAAAACGCAAAACAAATGTTCTGAGTAGCTTTTCAATAGTTCTAGAGTTCCTAAAAAGGAAAAGGAAGTTTTAGGAAATTACGCTGAAAAAAAAAATTTTAAGTCGAAAAAGTTTAATTTTGGAAAAAAATTAAAGCCGTTCGTTCTAAATAGCTTTTCAATAGTTCTAGAGATTCAGAAAGCAAAAAAAAGTAATCTAGTTTTGGAAATATATTTTTATTCCATATTCATATTAAAATCGTGAATATGAGGCAAGGGATAATGAGCCGGTACACTATGGCGGATCCAGCGGGGGGTTTTGGGGGTTAAACTACATGTCAGTCAGTGGCGGACCCACGGGGGCTGTTTTAATATGGCGCATAGGTATGTATAATATGGCGTCTATGCATTAAAATACCGTGCCCCGCGGGTCCGCTACTGACTGACACGTAGATTAACCCCCAAAACGCCCCCGCTGGATCCAACACTGCGGTACCGTCACAGTATTAAGTCTTCTTAAATCACCACAAGGACGCCAGTCATTAACTTCTTTCTTTGGTACTAAATGAAGTGGAGATGCCGCAGATGAATTCGATGGTACAAATGCCTGTTTTTACTAAAAAAATCGAATTCAGGCAACTCTAACTATTGCCAACTATTAATTGGAAAATAAATATGTAATATGAGCTAATATATGAACATATTTTGATAAAATTAAAAAATATCACATGACTCACCATTTTTTTCGATTCATATTGTACATGCAATTCGGCGCAACAGCATAACAATCGACATATGTACGAAGGACCATCAATTATATGTATACATATATGTATGTATATATTTACATACGTATGTAAATGCACCCTATTTGGTGGCACTAGTTTTCACATCTCTTGCTGGGCAATTGCCTTTAATTTCTAGGCTGCTCCGCCATCGTGTAAAATTAAACTACAATTACCGACAAGCACTTCACTGCAAACACTTTTCACAACACAAATGATGAATTATATATATTTATTGAAATTGCTACAATACACATATATGCACATTAAATTTTTACAACTTTTATCATAGATTTATTAAAACTTTTCACTTGCATCGAAAAATCGAGCGCTCGAACACTTTAGCCAACCGACGATTTAAGTGGAACTGAGGATACGGAACTGCTGGCGATAGAAACACAGAGAGGAAGGAAACTAGTACTAAAATAATTGTTTTCTATTTTTCGAGTTCCCATTAATTAGCAGCGTGGACACCAACCAAGAGTATTTTGCACACCGAATATTTTGCAAACACAGGAAGATACATGTGCCGAGAGTTTTCAAGCATTTATTCAAGCATGCGAATGTATATAAGTTTTGAATTAAAAGTGATCTTTGAAATTGAAAATAAAAGAACACAATTTAATGAAACTGCAATTTTAAGCATATGTATGTATTTATGTTTGTATATATGTATATACATTTGTGTGTACATGCAGTCATAATTTCAGTGACAATGCTTTTTGCCAACTAGAGCTAATTGGTTTGTGTTATGGCTAGATAATTTTTGAAAAACTTTCTACTAAATTTGAAGTCAGTGAAAATTCACGCTTTTCATCTCTGTGTTCCTATCGCCAACAATTCCGTTTTCTCATGGTCTGATTATGGCAACTTAACGTAAAAGTTTTTGCCCACCAACTGTCATTTTTATTGCCTGATAAAAATTTTATCAGCGGCAATATTTGTGCGTGGGCATTTTTTATCTTGATAAAAGCATTTAAAAGATGGCAATTTTTGCCGGATTTCATCAATTAAAAAGTTTAAAAAATATGCTATTTCACACCCAAGCAAATAATAACACATATTTTAATAGAAAACAGTTCAATTTTTGCTTTTATATTGAAATATCGATAATGTTGTCTCCACGAAGCTATCGCGCAAATGAAAATGTAGCTGCAAAGTACCAAATTGCTGGCAATATTTATCAAGATAAAAGCTCTGATAATTATTGCTTGCCAAGAGCAATAAGCGGGCTCCATGGGCAAAATTTTGCCTGATAACATTATCAAGATAAAAACTATTGCCTGTGGAGACAGCAAGTTACGGTTCTCTCTTAAAAGCTCTGTTAATTCGGCGTTGCTTATAATTGAACAGCCGAAACTTTAAATGGAAAGATTAAGTCGTTTTTTGATCCCGCGGTGCTGTTAAAGTTAAACTGTTCTTATAACTAATTTTAATATGGACTACTCTAAAAACTCTTTTCGTAGGTGTCCCCCCCGTGACAAATGTTGTCCCACCCGTGACAAATGTTGTCCCACCCGTGACAAATGGTGTCCCATCCGTGACAGAGGTATTTCGGATTTCTTTTTATAACAAAGCCATCCTTTTTGTTGTAGTTTTTGCTTTGTTTGCATTCGTGGTTCTTTGTTTTATTATAAGACATCAAGTTCACACAGTAAATTCGCAGAGTTTTCGTAAAATATATGTGCTCCTAAAGGCAGGTTCTTTTTTTTGTCCCACCCATGATAGAAGAAACAACTCAGATTTTTTCCATATAAAAGTAAGCTCGCATTTTTTCGGTATTTGGTAAAAACTCAGGTGTAGCTTTATCAAAATGTAGAATTGTTCAGTACTTTATACTTAAATTTAAATAAGAAAGAACAATTTTTTCTGTTCAAATGTCCCACCCGTGACGGGGGAATCGCCCGGATATTTTTTCAGGAGCTTTTGAACTATTGAAAAACTTCTCATAACAGTTTTTTCCGTCGTTACCTTCCAGAAACTTCGTGAGGTTCCTTAATGATAGGTGTATCAATAAAGACTAGTAACCAAATATGTAGAAGTTTTGTTACTTGTCCTTAGTCGCCGTAGCTAGGTGCCCTGCCCACCCTCTAACTAATAGTCTCATCAAAATACTGACAAAAAAGTTCATAAGTGCTTTGCGTTCGGTTAATAACCAATTTACCTTTGTTTTACACAGGTCACCGATGCAGAACCCGATCCAGAATGCACACTGCTCACATATTTGCGCGATAAATTACGTCTTTGTGGAACGAAACTAGGTTGCGGTGAGGGCGGCTGTGGTGCTTGTACTGTTATGATTTCACGCGTCGATCGCGCTACAAACAGCATCAAACATTTGGCTGTCAACGCCTGCCTTATGCCAGTGTGCGCCATGCATGGCTGCGCTGTCACCACCATTGAGGGCATCGGCAGCACCCGCACTCGTCTTCATCCGGTTCAGGAGCGTATAGCTAAATCGCATGGCAGCCAATGTGGCTTTTGTACACCTGGCATCGTTATGTCCATGTACGCATTACTTCGAAGCATGCCATTGCCATCGATGAAAGATCTTGAAGTCACATTTCAGGGTAACCTTTGTCGCTGTACAGGCTACCGTCCCATTTTGGAGGGTTACAAGACGTTTACTAAAGAGTTCAGCTGTAGTATGGGTGACAAGTGCTGCAAGGTTAATGGTAACAAAGGATGTAATGGAGCCGAGTCGGAGCAGAATGGAGTGAATGATCAATTGTTTGAGAAAAGTGAATTTTTACCCTTTGATCCTAGTCAAGAACCAATTTTTCCACCAGAATTGCATTTAAATCCACAATTCGACGCTGTGAATTTAGTTTTTACAGGCCCCCGGTCGACTTGGTATCGGCCGGTGGAACTTTTGAACCTTCTGAAACTAAAGGCAGAACATCCTCATGGAAAAATTATCGTTGGCAACACCGAGGTTGGCGTTGAAATGAAATTTAAGCAATTTCTTTATCCGGTGCACATTAATCCCATTAAGGTGCCAGAATTAAATGAAATACGCGAACTTGACGATAGTATTTTATTTGGTTCCGCCGTCACACTGATGGACATTGAAGAGCATTTACGCGGTAGAACAGAGAAGTTGCCACGACACCAAACCCGCTTCTTCCGCTGTGCAGTGAAAATGTTGCATTACTTTGCAGGCAAACAAATTCGCAATGTAGCTTCATTGGGTGGAAACATTATGACTGGAAGTCCTATTTCCGACATGAACCCTATATTGACGGTAGCTTGTGCCAAACTCAAGGTGTGCAGCTTGGTCGATGGGAAAGTACATACTCGCGAAGTTCGCATGGGTCCAGGGTTCTTCACTGGCTACCGCAAAAATACCATTCTGCCTCACGAAGTCTTGGTGGCGATCCATTTTCCAAAGACCTCAAAAGATCAATACTTCGTGGCATACAAACAGGCACGCAGAAGAGACGATGACATTGCCATTGTAAATGCAGCCATAAATGTGACCTTTGAACCGAACACTAATATAGTGCAGGAGATTTTTATGGCGTTTGGTGGTATGGCGCCCACAACACTTATGGCACCAGCCACATCGAAAATCATGGTCAAGCAGAAGTGGGATCGAGTATTGGTCGAACGTGTCGCTGAAAGTTTATGCGTCGAATTACCTCTGGCGTCATCTGCGCCCGGTGGAATGATCGCTTATCGAAGATCTTTGGTGGTCAGTCTATTCTTTAAAGCGTTTTTAGCTATTAGTCAAGAGTTAATGCAAGCTGGCGTACTTGAAGCGAATGTAATACCGGAAAGGGAGTTGAGTGGAGCCGAAACCTTCCATACACCGATTTTAAAAAGTGCACAAATTTTTGAAAGAGTACGCTCTGAGCAATCGACATGTGATCCCATAGGAAGGCCTAAGGTACACGCCTCTGCGCTGAAGCAGGCAACGGGGGAAGCTATTTATTGCGATGATATTCCACGTCACGAAAACGAGTTGTATCTTGCGCTGGTGCTGAGTACTAAAGCACACGCCAACATCATATCCATCGATGCCACTGACGCCTTGAGGCAACCGGGAGTGCATGCGTTCTTCTCCAGCAAAGATTTAACCCAGCATGAAAATGAAGTTGGCACCGTTTTCCATGACGAGGAAGTATTTGCCTCAAAAAAGGTGAATTGCCAGGGGCAGGTCGTTGGGGCCATCGTGGCGGATAATCAAGTCTTGGCGCAGCGTGCGGCACGCCTAGTGCATATCAAGTACGAAGAAGTATACCCAGTAATAATCACAATTGAACAGGCAATCGAACATAAATCGTACTTTCCGAATTATCCACAATTCAACGAGAAGGGCAATATAGACAAAGCGCTTAAAGAAGCTGATCACGTCTATGAGGGCAGTTGTCGTATGGGAGGTCAAGAGCATTTCTACTTGGAGACAAATGCGTGTGTGTCCACTCCTCGAGACAACGACGAAATTGAATTGTTTTGCTCCACACAAAATCCTTCCGAGATACAAAAGTTAGTAGCGCACGTACTTTCGCTGCCGTGTCATAGAGTCGTCTGCCGTTCCAAACGTTTGGGTGGAGGATTTGGTGGCAAAGAGTCCCGCTCGATTATCTTGGCGCTGCCAGTTGCATTAGCTTCATATCGACTTGGACGACCAGTGCGTTGTATGCTTGATCGAGATGAAGACATGATGACAACAGGTACACGCCATCCGTTCCTCTTCAAATACAAAGTGGGTTTTACTAAAGAAGGATTGATAACGGCATGCAACATTGAATGTTATGCTAATGCCGGTTGGTCAATGGATCTCTCCTTTTCGGTAAGGATTTCACTGTTTGTACTTCCGATTAATATTATAAATGTGAAAGTTTGTGAGGGGGGTGGGTATGCTTTTCGTTCTTTCCCGCTAAAACGGCTGGACGTTTTTCAGTGAAATTTGGCACACAGATTTTTTTTTTTTTGCAGACACCTTTTTCAAAAGTTAGAATGAATTAATTTATAGGTTAAATAAAAAATTACAGCAATGTGGGTGTCAAAGGACAGGAGATCAATAACGATTTATTTCGAAATAATTTTGAAGAGGGTTGGCACCTGATCAAAAAGTTTAACTAAATATTTTAATTTCAATATTTTTATATGGATATCCTTAAACCTAAAGACTCTTTTTGAAAATGGTTTTCAGGAAGGCTATCACCTGTTTTGGAATCCAAAATCAATTTAAATACCAATAAATCATTTTATGTGTGAATCAAATCAAGAAAGGTTTAAGGAAGCTTAATTTCGAAAAGATTTTTGGAGAGGGTTGCCACCTGTTTACAAATTCAAAATCTGTTAAGTTAGTCAGTTTAATAAAATAGGTGATTTTAGGTGTCAAACGAAGATTTCGAAGATGCCTTTTAAGGGGGTTGCCACCTGTTTGGGAAATCAAATCAATTGAATTAACTAGTTAAACTGAATATTTTATATAGGTTTCTACGGACAAAGAATATACAAAACTCTATTTTGGACATATTTTTGTCGAAGGTTGCCAGCGGGTTAGAGATTAAACATCAATTTATACAATGTCCAAGTTAAATTAAGTAACGAGAGAGGTTTAAGAAAGCTGAGAGCTTTTTTTTTAAATTACTTTTGAAAGTTTATTTATTAAATATTTTCTAAAGGAGTTATAACCAACTTAAAAATTCCAGTTCAATTTAGTGACAGGTTAAATAAAGCACTACAATGCGGGTGCCTAGTGAACAAAGTTAAAGAAAGTTTTATTTAATTTAATTTAATTTAACTCCGCCAATTACTTAATTGAAACTTTTATATTTATGCCAAATTAGTTTAAAAGCATTTTTTTATTATATGGGTTTCAAACGGACAAAATGTTTATTTCAAAAATTTTTTAATAGGGTTGTCATCTGTTTAAAAACTCCAAATAAATAAAAAGCCTCATTTCGAAAAATTGTATTGCCAATTTAAAATATTTTAATATGGTTGTTAAACGAGAGAGGTTTAAGAAATATCTTAATTCTAAATAACTTTTGAAGAATGGCTAAGGAAAGAAGTTAAATAAATTTTGTCCCGAATTATTTTTGAAGGGGTTCGCTAAGTCTTTAAACATTAGTTAATTGATCTTACATCTGTATACCAAATTAAATTTTTCCTCTTATGTTAGAAAAAAACCAATAAAACTGAATGGGCTGCAAGATTTTTCTAAAAAATTTTTTAGCTTATTCACTGTAGGTCATTAGGATAGCGCCCCTCTTTGTAAACTTCTTTTGTAATTTTCTTCAAATTTAAGAATCAGATTTGAACGTAGAATATGCTATATATATTTAAAAAAATTTAAATTTAAAATATTATATATATAAAAAAACTGTAAATACTAAGAACTAAAAAGGTGCGATATTCAAATGACGAGGAGTAAAATATGCACACTGTATATACACATATATATAATGATACAATCCAACATTTAAACTTTGTTTTATAAATTCAGGTTCTAGAGCGTGCTATGAACCATTTCGAAAACTGCTATCGCATTCCAAACATTAAAGTTGGAGGTTGGGTCTGCAAAACGAATTTGCCATCCAATACTGCATTTAGAGGGTTTGGCGGTCCTCAAGGCATGTTTGCTGCGGAGCATTTAATAAGAGATGTGGCACGCATAGTTGGAAAAGATTATATAGATGTTATGAAAATAAATTTTTATAAAACTGGTGATATTACTCACTACAATCAACGATTGGAGGATTTCCCCATTGAAAGGTAAACTTTCTTTCCTTTCTTAATAAATGGTAACACTATACTAATGTAATGTTATTTAAAGGTGTATGAAAGATTGTCTAGAGCAGTCGAAATTCCATGAGAAGCGTGCACAAATTGTAGAATTTAATAGAAAAAATCGTTGGCGGAAACGTGGCATCTCTCTCGTTCCCACCAAATACGGCATCGCATTCGGTGCCATGCATTTAAACCAAGCCGGAGCTCTCATTAACATTTACGCTGATGGTTCGGTGTTGCTCTCTCATGGTGGTGTCGAGATCGGTCAAGGTCTGCATACCAAAATGATACAATGCTGTGCCCGTGCATTGGGTATTCCAACGGAGCTTATACATATTTCCGAAACAGCCACCGATAAGGTACCCAATACATCACCAACAGCAGCCAGCGTGGGCTCGGATATAAATGGCATGGCTGTGCTGGATGCTTGCGAGAAACTTAATCGGCGTTTAAGGCCAATTAAGGAGGCCCATCCAAATGCTAGCTGGCACGCATGGATCAACAAAGCTTATTTTCAGCGTATTAGTCTGTCCGCGAGTGGATTTTATAAAATGCCGGATGTTGGTGATGATCCAGCTAAAAATCCGAATGCGCGTACATACAATTACTACACGAACGGTGTTGGCGTATCAGTGGTCGAAATCGATTGTCTAACCGGCGATCATCAAGTATTGAGCACAGATATTGTAATGGATATAGGATCGAGCTTGAATCCAGCAATCGATATTGGCCAGATTGAAGGTGCCTTCATGCAAGGTTACGGTTTATTTGTATTGGAAGAGCTTATCTATTCCCCACAAGGGGCACTCTATTCGCGTGGACCTGGAATGTATAAATTGCCAGGATTTGCCGATATACCGGGGGAATTCAATGTAAGCCTTTTAACGGGTGCACCTAATCCACGAGCTGTTTACTCATCAAAGGTGTGTTGGTTTTTAATGATTTTGTTTGTGTGTTGTTTGATTACCATTTGAATTCGACTCGTTTAGGCTGTGGGAGAGCCACCATTATTTATTGGCAGCACCGCCTTCTTTGCCATTAAAGAGGCTATAACGGCTGCTCGTGCCGAGCGTGGCCTGAGCGTTCATTTTCAACTGGAAGCTCCAGCGACAGCTGCACGAATTCGTATGGCATGTCAAGACGAATTTACAGAATTGGTAAAATTTAAATTAATGTTAATTATAGTGTTTTAATTGCATTTGCTTACATACAAATATTAATTCGAATTTATATACATAGATTGATCAGCCGCCAACAGATGCACACAAGCCCTGGAATGTTGTGCCGTAAATTATGATAGATGGAATGTAACTAGGCAGATTTGGAAAAATCGCTTCAAGGATGCACTTGTACACACTTTCGTATTCATGCATATGTACATACATACATATTTAGTAATTTCAATAGTACTTACTGTTTATAGAAATTTTTAAAAATGACCAACTTCAAAACAAAATAATAATAATAAAAAAATAATAGTTGTCCCTGACCTATACAAAAATACGTCATGAACATGTACATATTGCTAGCTTAGAGTGAAAATTTGCTAAGTCCACTTTTTGTGAAAACTCATATTTTGACATAAAAACCTGCGAAAAACGGATATTGTCGCTTAATGGTGCTGATAACACGGTGCAACAAAAAATATCAGTCCAGCGCCTTCGTCTCTACCTGGAGGCTGTGTCGGAGTCACATCCGCTAAACTTAAACGTAGAATACGTGATGTTATGAAGATCACATTCAAGTTAAAAACAGTCTCCGTAGGTCTTCGTGTTCGTGCTCGTCTTCTCATTATCCTGGTCTTCGAATTTGTGCATAAGTTAGCTAAGACTTCTGAAACAGCTGGCAACTCTCCTAAATATAGTTAAGAAATAAAAAAAAAATCTCGTGCGTCCGATATTGTGATAGCTACATATTTTAGGTGCCTGATGAATTAAGTTAAATTTGATTTTTAAGTACGTAACAACGCTCCTAAATACAGTTCTGCAATAAAGCATTTTTAAACCCATTTCATTTGATAGCCCTTGTTTTTTTAACAATTACTTTAACTTATTAGATAATTTGAGTTTACCTTTATAAACACACAAACAACCCTCTTTAATATTCTAACACCCAAATTCATGAAAAATAAAGATGACCTTAACTACTTTATAAATAGAAAATTTGTATGAAAATGTCACTTTATAGAGCTCTTTAAATCTATCATATTTTTTATCAATAGGGCCGTTAATATTCAAACTAAGGATATCTTTCCACCTTCGTTTCACGTCATATTTTAATACTTCATTGAGCTTATGCTTACTTTAATTAAATTCTAATTTTAAAACATATGGCTACCCCATTCAACATATTTTTAGAACAAAACCTTGTTAAACCTTTTCTGACTTACACACATATTGCGATACAAATTTAAAATGTGTATATAATTCCCTTGACTCAAGTTGAATTTATATTCTAAAACGAAAATATTTCTAACTTTTTACGCAGGTGAAAACCCTCTTTAATGTAAATATTTCTTAATACTCCTTTGTTTGGCGCCCATATTTCGATAACAACAATCAGATGGCAATCTTGTTTAAATTATTTTTAAACCAAAACCTCGTTAAACCTTTTTCGTCTGACACTTGTATTGCGATACATATTTAAGTTATCTAATACCCTTAATTCAAACTAAATTTAATTATAAAATCAGGTGGCAACCCTCCTATATGCAGTTTAGGAATAAAGTTTCTTCAGAGCAATTTTGATTTATATTCAAATTGAAGTAATTTATTTAACCTATTGCTTATATTGAATCTAACTTTGTAACAAGGTGGCAACCCTCTGCAAAATATTTTCAAACCATAGCCTCTTTCGTCTGATATTTATATCAGGATATACAATTAAAATTTTCTGCCTTTATTTAAATCAAACTGGCTTTTTGAAACAGGTGGCAACCCTCCCACATGTAATTAAGAAATAAAGCTTTTTCGAAGCCATTTTGACTTGAATTTATGATTAAAGTAAGCAAAGACAAAATATTCGAGCGCTTTTCGAGCATTTTGGTAATAAAAAAAATTTGCTAATTTTTTCAAAAACTTGTTGCCTTAAACTGCTCAATATTTGTTGAATTTATATAAATTTTTTTATACGATAATATTTCAATTGCTTCAAAGAACCTATATCCCGAAAATGAAATTTATATCCGCAAATCATAAGTTGCTAGAGTACTTTAAAAGCTCAAAATTTACCCCAAAATATCCCACGTATTCTACGTCAACAGCAAATCATCAAATGCACCCGAAACAAAACCTAGTATGGTGGAGTACAACATGAAAACAGGTTCCGTATTTAATTTTTTTTTTCAGACAACCGTTATGTTCCTACATAATGCACTTATCTATTGACAGCTTGCCTATTCTTCATCCGATTTTAGAAACCGAACATGTTTGATTTATAGACCTTTAAAATGACGTATAACAATATATTGTTAGACTTAGTTTGTTGTGAGTTTTCATTGGGCACAACTACAAAAACCTTTTTTCCTAAATTTTTTTAACTTTGACCATCGCTTATATCAAAAATTTCTATAAAAATTACATATAATAAAATTGTAATAGGCCGATGTGTGTACTTTATAGATATTAAAGAAAAATTAATATGATGGGTCTTTATTAGAGCAATAGATGCCAAATCAATAATTTTTAGAATTTTTGTCTGTCTTTATGTTTGTACGCGCATCACTCGAAAAATAATGCATGAAATTCAATGTATTGCTAGAGGTCTAATTTAAAATATAGAAAGAAAAAACTTTGCGAGTTGCCACCTGTTTGAAAATTGTTGTTTAAATAAATTGATAAGATAAAGTAAATATATCAGTATGGGTGTCAAAAGAAAGAGGTTTAAGAAGGTTTATACCCGAAAATATTTTGGAGGATGTTGCCACATGTTTGAAAATTTTAATTTAATTTAATTTAATTGATAAGATAAATTAAATATTGAAATATGGGTATCAAAATAAAGATATTTAGGAATGTATACTGCCGAAAATATTTTTGAGGAGGGTTTTCACCTGTTTGAAAAAATTTGTTTAATAAAATTGATAAAATCAATGAAATATTACAATACGGGTATCAAACAACACAAAACTACTTTTAAGGCGCAATGAAGCACGCCGGGTATTTGCTAGTTTTCGAATAAATTGCTACCTCACCTAATGCAGTTGCATACAAATTTTCGAAGTTAAGCAATTTAAGCAAAAATGCAATCTTGATTTTATATGTGTGTATGTACCCTGCATTCACTATTTTGGGCAGTGTGGCTAAGGAGCCCATCAAAATTTATTTTCCATACAAATATAGAAAAAGGGCGTGGCATCGCTGTTATCTTATATCGGTTTTTACATATCATCGACTGATCAATTTATACTACTTATTTGTATTAAAAAATTTAGGTATCGAAAAAAGTATAAATGCAGTATTTTGGAAAAAACCGAAGTATCCATTTTTGGCATCCCAAAAAAAAA